TTGACAGTCTAATTACATGTGGTATGAAAGTAAGTTTTCATTTGATGAATAGAAGGACATGGCCTTCAGCAAGTAACAGTGCTGCTGGCAAACAATGCATTTGCCTAAGTGGTGGAATACAATTTATACTTAGGAGGTTTTTATTGGACACTTCCAAGGCAACAGCTGCTCATCCTGAGGTATTTCTAGTCTGTGATAGCAGGCTTCAGCAGTCCAATAGCAGTATGAGCTACCTGTGCTCTTGTTTGAGATTATCAGCCTACAGAGTCAACCCTCAAAAACACAGCTGAAGAGGAACTTTCCACCAGCATTACACTCTCCTCAGTTGACAGAATCACTTGTCATGTGACTGTAGATGTTTCAAAACTTTTAGTGGAAAACTTACTTTCCTCCACGACTCCCCACACGCCAGCAACCTGTCTAGTTTGCTGAGAGGGACTTGTGTCCTCTAGGATCCTCTTCTTTCAATAACATCTAAGCATGAAAAGCTCTGGCTTTCAAGCTCCCAGCCTCACTGCAATAGTAGAGAATTTCAGAAACATCTCAGATCTTTCAAAATGAAATGTCACTTGGATGTTTTCAGACCAAAGTTAGAATAATAATAATGAAAATAAAGCTAAGTTTATTTTCTCCCGTTTTTGGAACAGCACATTATTTGACATCTCAGAATTTCCAAATGGGAATTGTGTATTGGACTAACACCATTTAATACATGAAAGGCCCTATGTAGCATCCTGATTTCAAGAAAATAAATTGAACTGAGAGGCACTATTCAACGAAGCAAGTATTTGTTAGTATAAGCAGATGTTATACACTTATCTCCATAAAACTGGTTACACATTATAAGATGCAGATGAATATATGAATGTTTATTACAGATGAGGTGTGCAAGTGACTTCAGGCCAGTTCTTAAACTGATGAAACAAGATCAGACACTGAAAGATATTTAGGCAGCAAAGACTGTAGATAATTTGGTCAGAAGACTTTCAAAGGGTATCTAGCATTAAACTAATTTGGTTTCACATGCTAGAAGTTTTTAAAAATTTTAGTAGTTGCTTTTTGGCACCTTTAGTGTCTAAAATTTATTTTGAAATCTGGCTCTTTAACATCAATCCACCACATACAGCCAGAATTCTGAGAAACAGACTTCCTTCCCAGAACACTAATAAGCAACTGTGAATATAATTAAGAATATTTATGAAAAAGGGAATTTGGTTCACATCTTGCTTGCCTCCAAGTCTTTTTATACAATATATTATATAGCTGTCACCCCTTAAAGTGCTGCGTGGAATTTATTTTATTGTAAATGTGTGTTTTTCTATCAAATCTCTATCTTTTACTGAAAACATAGCAGCTACACTTGAATACTAGTGCAGTTATTTATTATTTGTATTGATGCAGTAGAAAATGCTCCTTGATTGGAGTGTAATTGCTGCAGTTCTCAGGTGTAACATCATTCCCCAAAGGTTTTCTAGGAGGATAGCTTAACAGTCAATTCCCACAATTGTTCAGGTAGCAAAACTGCCTTCAGTCAACCTTTCTTACAAGGAAAACTAAGCACTTCTACTGTAGCTAGAAGTCTAATGAATTCAGGGGCTGAATCAATGATCATGCAACATGCTTAGAGTAGATCCCCTTGGCCAGTACTCATGTGCAGTAAAAAAGAATGATTTACTTATCTCTGCTGATCTAAATTATCATACTGGATGGATGTCGGGAGGCAGAATGCTTCCTTGGTAACAGTATTTCAAAATTCTTGTGGCTTGGACAGTTTAAACTAAAACTTCTAACTGGCAGCAACTTCATAAGCAACTGAGCTCCAAAAGCATTGGTATGGGGATTCTATAAACTCATTTATTTGAACTGATTATTAAACTATCAACTGAGACTGAGTATTAGATACAAGAATGTTACTGGGGTGATTCAGCAATATTACAGCAGAATTTTAAGAGAAAGCAAAACTTTCACTCTTCAAAGCACTGGGTGAGGCACTGCCATGGTATTCTTTCAAAGTCTTTCTTAACTCTTTAACTATCAATACCTCTTCAAAAGGCAAACAGTTCAGACTCTTAGCCTGGATTTTGGGAGAGCTTTTTCATGCACTTTCTATGTCACCTCAAGCAACTCAGTCTCTCAGAATTGCAGATCCCCAGCTGTTAATGTGGAATTACAATAATTTACTTCCTCGTAAGAGTGTTGTAAAGGTCATGCATTACAGACTGTCCAGTGTTCAGAAACTATGGTCATAACATACATGAACACCTATGACACAACAACCATAAGACAATGTGTGTAAATTGTGTCACAAAATGAAGCTCCTGGTAAGTCACTACTGCTGTGCAAGAAAGGGCTCACAGCGGTCCACTACACACCAAGTTCAATGAGTACAAAAGGAACAAAAGAAAGAAAAGCCATTCTCAATTCACTGCAAGTTAACTGCTTTTTCACTCATGACTCTTAAAAAGTTCCTACGTTGTCCTAAGACAAAATGCCCACAAGCTCAAGTTATATGACCACATAGCACATGCAGACTGAGAACAGGTCCTCTTTTAATATTGTGCTCTGTAAGGCACTTCAAAGGTCCATCTTTCAGATACAGCTTTTATGCAGCTGTTCACATGAAAATCACCATGAAAGAGTATCAGCAGAGGACAGCAAAGGGTTCTTTGGGAACATCTCATCATAAACCAGCATACAGGAGAATGGTGCAGGCAAAATCATCTTGGCAAGGGCTTACTTTTTCTGTCAAGTGTGTTTGGTGGTTGAAGGAGTCCTTGATCCATTGTCTCTCCCCTCTCCACAACAGAAAAGCTGTGTGCATGCTAGAAAGGGCTGTGTGATTATCTGGGGTGGTTTTGTTTGTTTGTTTGTTTGGCCCCATGTAATAATTGGCTCAACCTACAAGAAAAATTTTGCTTCTGCTGAGTATCTATTTGGAAGAAAAGGAGATTGTGTCTGTGTGTCTATCTCATTTTGTAGCCTGCATATTCACAGGCCACTACAACAAAAGATGGGTATGAGTTTCAGTGCCTGATCCAATAAATGTTTATGTACAACAGCCTGTAGCAATGTCAACGTGACAGATTTTGATCAACTTGCATTCCTGGCTACAAAATACTCTTGGAATCTGATTAATGTGGGTTTAAATCCTCTTTAAGTAGGAGACACAAATCTCCCAAATCCCAGCTGAATACCTTAACCATCAGTCTGAAGGGTGAACAGTGAATCTTCCACAATGATTTTATCAAGACTGTATATTTTTTTCCCATTTGAACCTACTCATTATTGGCTTCAGATTGTGTTTGTTTTGGGGTTTTTTTTTTGGGGGGGGGGAGGAAAAACAAAGGAAATGTCTAACTATTTCTAAGTTAAGGTGCAATTCTTATATTCCTTTGAGAGGAAGGACTGCAGATATTACAGGTCCCTCTCCAACCCACACAAATGCATGTGTATGTACATTTGTTTCTTGTGCACAGTCTTATCTGTGCTTTGGCATCACAGTTTTTCCCAAAAGATTTTCAGATTATTTTTCAATTACAGCCTTAGCAGTAGATTGCAGTACCTGGGGAATAAAGAATTCAGATCCTCATCCCTACAGCTCATATGTTTCGACATCGGCATAAATGAATTAATTTTCAGAAGCATTGATCCTCCATGCCTCTAATTGCCTTCAGCACATTAAAAAAATTAGTATCCACAATACACTAAAAACTTGTGGGCAAAAATATTGATTTTGCCTCACGTTAAACTTTAAGACTATCAGAAAATGCTACTAAGTGTACGGCAGGTAATTCAGGAAGTCTAAAGGCTTTTCAACAGGAGATCTTATCTGAGGAATAAAATACTGAACATAAATACATGAACTTTCAGAAGAATTGGTAACTGTAATAGTTGTGGGGGGTTTGTGTGTGAAGTAATGAATGTTGCATAAATACCATCTACTGGCAGGAAGATACTATCCTAATAGGAGTTAAAAATCCCACGATCAGTTTAAACAATTTTTCTGTATCAATTGAATAAATCTCATTAACGCCATAGGAGGGTAAAGGAAAAATAAAGATTTTCCATCTGCTGAATGGAATCATACTATTTACAATTGTCTGCTCTGCTGTGAAGTACTGACAAATACATTGAATTTACACATTAGAAGACAGTTTGCAACCAGAACATAATAGTTTATAATAACAAGCATCACAAATTTTTATACCCATTTTAAATAAAACGATAGTTAATACACTTTTAAGGCAAATCACTGTGGTATGGCTGATAAATAACAGATCACATTCACTTACCTGTGTTTCTGCTTTCCCTTTTGGTGGTGAAACCAGATGAGAGCATTCGAGAATGACTTTACGACTAACAGACATGAATAGACCCTTTTCATTTAATGTCATTCTTAGGTTTAGACTTTCCAAAAGTAATCTGTTAGTCTTCCCAGAATTACCTATCTTCCCTTCTACTGCTTTCAGGTAGTATCACTTGTTTTGTTTCAAATCAAACTAATGAAGCATATGTGACTGTGGTGGAGCTCTCCCATTGTTCACAATATCTAGTAAGTACTCAGTCCCCTCATACACAACATGAAGCTTTTGCCTATCAGCTCCTAATTTCACTGAACCAGTGCATGGTCCTGGAGGAACTAAACACCAACGTTATTTTGAATCCTGTTAAGTTGCTTTGCCACTTCACTTATTGTGTCTGCTGCAAAGCATTTGGGCACTTCCTACTACCACATTATAACTTATTTTTTAGCCATGCTATCACAACAGCATTAGCAAAATTGCTGGAAACCCCAAAGCTGCAAAACTGCCAAGATTGTGAATATTTTATCTCTATTAAGTTAAAACATAACTTTGGTTATTCAAGTGATTTTTAATGAAGAACTCAAAAACTTAATAAAAATTTAATATAACTAATCTTTTCTGATTTGTTTACTCTGTTTTGTTTTCCATAGTTCAGATGTACAACATTGGTTGCATATATAAGTAAACATAACATACCAAAATCCACAAGCTTGACTCCTCCTTCAGTGGTCAAAAGAATATTATTTCCCTTAATATCACGATGGATGGTTTTGTTTTCATGCAAATGCTGAAGTCCCTGTAAGGTGAGATGTAAACACAAACTTTTTACTAACTGCTCTTTAATCTGTGTTACATTTGCAGGAACAAAAGCATAGCAAAAAAATATGAACAAAACTAAACCACCTTTTCTTTAGAATTCAAAATCACAGAAATTGTACATTGTTATTGAGAAAATACTGGGCACACCACGAGGAACAGATATTTTTTAAGTGCTCCACATTATAACAAATAGAAATTTTAAGATAAAAGCAGAAAAAGAGCACCATAAATCCACATTATATATTATACCCTTAGAGTATATATTCAAAGAAAATTGTTAAGGCCTAAATTCCACTGCAGAAAGTCACATTCCAGTTAACAGAAAAGTAACAACAGACACTTGATTCTGAGTGGCAAAAAAAAATTATCTTGTAGTACTGTTTGAATTCACTAGATCTGTTGATCATTTTGCTATAAACATATTTTGGATATAGGCATAAGAAATTTAACAGTATTTTGGATATATTTCTGCTCTTTTTAGAAAGGAAAAATTTGATGCAGAACTATTTATTAAGAAAATGGACCATACAGAATCACAGAATGTCAGGGGTTGGAAGGGACCTCGAAAGATCATCTAGTCCAGCCCCCCTGCCAGAGCAGGATCACCTACAGTAGGTCACACAGGAACACGTCCAGGTGGGTTTTGAATGTCTCCAGAGAAGGAGACTCCACAACCTCCCTGGGCAGCCTGTGCCAGGGCTCTGTCACCCTCACAGTGAAAAAGTTTTTTCTAATGTTTTTATGGAATGTCCTATGCTCCAGCTTGCAGCCGTTGCCCCTTGTCCTGTCACTGGACATCACTGAGAAGAGCCTGGCACCATCCTCCTAACACTCACCCTTTACATATTTATAAACATTAATTAGGTCACCCCTCAGCCTCCTCCTCTCCAAGCTAAAGAGATCCAGCTCCTTCAGCCTTTCCTTGTAAGGGGGAAGTGCCACTCCCTTAATTATCTTTGTGGCTCTGCCCTGGACTCTTTCAA